GGGAGGCGGCTGGGCTGATGGGAGCCACTTGCCATCATACAGGTGCCTCTCCACACTGTCTGTGTCCAAAACTGTGGGCCAGGGCACATTAAGCCTGGCAGCAGCACGTTTGCGCACTTCGTACAGGTTGCTGTCCACAGGGTAGGTAGCATCGGACACACTGGGGGGTCTGAACTGGGCTGACGGAAATGTGGAGTCTTCCTCCACATCTTCCATATCCACAGCCTCAAGGAAGTCAGAAGCAGTATCATGGCCCTCTGCATCCTCACTGCCTGGGTCCATGTCAAGGAGGTCCTCAAGCAATATATCATATCAGTGGCATCATCATCCAAGATGTCTGCCCAGCTCTTAGCCGCTTGTGCAGGCTGGGTGGTGGCTGTGGATTTAGGGGTGGCCTCCATCAGGCAAGGGTCCTGGGAGTTAGCCACCGCCACTCTGAGTCTCCTCATGCAAGCTATGCACATCGGATGAGGGTCCTTGCCCAATATGGCGGCCCCAACACAACGCGGGGCACAGACAGGACGAAGCCTCCTTGGACTTCAGATCCTCCCCTTTGGCGGGGGTAGATGTCAACATAATGCCTGAGACAGAGAGAAAGACCAGAATAAGTGCAGTGCTAGTCTAGCCGCAATTTGCGATACGACCGTGAAAACCAGAGCTCGGCATTTTAGCCGGGCTGTTAGCTTCTGGAAGATTCTGCTCGCCGTGATACGTTAGCAGAACCACGCACTGCTGCTGAACTGCTCAACAAATTAATGTCAACCGCTCTCAAGGCCCGCCTTGACAAGGTAGCCGAAGAAAACACAGATTAACAAATTAATGTTAACTATCAAAGTCAAATATAAAGTACCGGGACAATATGCAATCAAATGCCGACTGACCGGTTGTACTAATAGCAGAAAAAGAGTAGCTCGCCTTTATCGCAGTCACTGCCTTACCCAGCAGACGAGCCAAAGCCTGCAACTGCGCTCGTCAAGGATATCTTTTACGGCTCGTTTGTGAACTGTTAAACAGAAGCTAGCTAACTAACCCGTAACGCTGAGGGATCTTAAGTTGTGGTTTCCACACGGGAAGAATGCGAGAATGATTGCATTAGGAAGAGGCTGACCGTATCAGTAGAGGGGGCGGAGCCCGAGATACAGTCATCCTGTCTGTCAAAGAGAGACATGGTGCCATTGGAGCTTCCGTGGATGGTCACGCCTGAGGCGATTCCCATAGTGAAACACCGAACGACGTTAGAAAAAGATCTACGTGCGCATGACGTGCTGCTCCATACGTGCGCCACCCTCATTCACTTTCCATGCATTTTAAAAGTTATGCGTCAAAAAGTTGCAGTTTTTACGCTAAGGTAGGGCGAAATACGCATGCAATGGAGCCAGGCCCATCATCTTTGAAAACTTAAAAAATTAACTGTCTCCAATGTGACACACGCACAGAACAGACTCAAAAAATATATATATATTCAACTGAAAAAAACATATATTCCACTGAGTCGTGTTCTTAAGTCTGACAGAAGCTGAACCGCATCAGCAGCACAAGAAACTAGCTGTTTTTATCAGCGCTTACAGTTCATGCAAATTAGCAGCGCAGTTTTAAGTTTTATTTCTGTGAAACGTAAAGAAATGTGTGCCTGAAGCCAAAATGCTGCCAAATTACAGAAGTACTAGTATTTTTGGGGGGGACCAACTCGCTTGCAGCCGGACATGCTATCTCGTCTTGGTCTCCCTTATGAGCGTCACATGAAAGCGGAATGAAACTAATTGAACGTCATCTCCCCAAGAAACATTCTATTAGTTTTAAATCATGATAGCATTAAATTGAAAATACAACCACACATTCATTTGTGCTGAGCAAAACAAATTTAGATATATCAATACACTGTAATATACCGTAATACCGTATTACCACCCAACTCTACTATGCACTAAAAGTTTTTATAATGCAACAAAATATTTAAATGAGCATGAAGCTATTAAAATCTCTATTATGCACAGATTATATAAGAATATATTAGTCATTTTATTAGGTTAAACAGGGATCTGATGACATTTTTAATTTAAGGCCAACCCACCATTGATCTGGCCCATCCACAACTGGAATTCTAACGCCATTGTGCCTGATTCACACCCAAAGAAGTCCCAGTGTGCTCATGTTTAATGCACTATGACATAATATAAGCTCAATGCTGAGGCTGTACTTTAGGTGGATAAATAGAAGCTCGTACCTCAGTTTAACGTGTCTGTGTCTGTGGTGAACAACATGAAGTGCTCTGTCCTCTGCCTCTTGGCTGTGGCCTTTGTGCCTTTGCTCTCCGCTCTGAAAGGTCAGTCACTTTGAATATACTTTTAAATGGAAAACGTAGAATGTCTATGTTGTATAGTCACAATTCTCTTACCTTGCGTAGTTTCATATGGTGTCATTTGGCCACAATATCAACTGGTTGTATGAACTTGCTTGTTATGGTAACATTTACTACATTTACTTACTTATCACAAATGCATTGAACTGGAACATTTGTATATATTGCAGTTATTCAGTTTATTGTAAAACATAAAAAAAGACAGTAACATCTCCATGGACACAATCAGATGGTGAACCCTCTACCTAAAAGATGAGCACATTAAATCTATTCAATTATATAATGACAATTTAGTGGCTTCAGAGAAAGATAGACATTGTCCAGTGAGCATTATGAACACTGATGGTCGGCTTGGTCTTTGCTGGGAGCAGTGCTCCACAGACAGAGATTGTGAGAGGAACTTGAAGTGTTGCTACACCGGCTGTGGGCACCTGTGTAAAGAACCACTCAGAGGTAACATGACCCTCAAGAATATATGTGGATGTTGTTTTTAAAGTATTGCTTGTGGTTTCTCAGTAAATTAGAGTGATCAAATCCTACATTATCCTTGCCTCGCATCTTTGTATAAATTACTTTTTCTGGTGACTAAGAATATTTTTAGATATATTTTAGTGCTTTCTTAATGAACTTCTTCTTCTTAACTTCTTAAATGTCCACAGAAGTGCCTAAACCCAAACCAGGATCGTGTCCTAGAGCAGACGGCTTTGGGATCTGTATCAATACATGCAACTCTGACCAAGACTGTGAGAGGAACTTGAAATGCTGCTCCAACGCCTGTGGGCGAACCTGTCAGGAGCCAGTCAAGGGTAATACATCCTTCAGTGTTTGTTTAGTTGACCTGCCATTTAAAATGACTCAGGGATAATTGACTGTTCAGTGATACTCTTTCACAATACAAGCACCGGATCATATTCTGATTTCAGTTGAATTAATTGTTTGAAAAATAATAATGAAGTTAGTTTGTTATATAACTAACATACATTCAACATACTGTACATACAATCTTTTATACCATCATACATTTTTTGAGTTGATCATGTTCTTTTTAACGATAAACACTATATTGGCAAGGCTGCCAATCTGTGGTAAAATCACAATTTTAATTGTAACTTCTTAAATGTCCACAGTGCCTAAGCCCAAACCAGGATTGTGCCCTGCTCCAGACGGCTTTGCGATCTGCATCCATTCATGCACTTCTGACCAAGACTGTAAGGAGGACCTGAAATGCTGCTCCAACGGCTATGGACAAACCTGTCAAAAGCCAGTCATAAGTAAGACACCCTTCTGTGTTTGTTTTGGTCATCTGGGATTGCTATGTAATACACTATGTAAAACATGATCAAAACAGTAACAACAACCATCAAAGGGCATATTTTATTATTTTTATTTTATGAATGAATCAATAACATCTATGGGAAGCTAAGAGTTTGGCCGAATCTCCACCAGAAAAATCACAGTGCACCTTTAATACTGTTATTTCTGTTTTTATCTCCACAGGAACCAAACCAGGATCTTGTCCTGCTCCAATCCCCCATTTCACTACATGTGATGATCAATGCTCTGACGACAGCGAATGTGACAAGAACCTCAAATGCTGCTACAGCGGCTGTGGCTACGAGTGTAAGAGCCCTGAACATGGCAACCAGGAAAAAGTGAAAGGATAATAATCATCACAAAGCACTGCACTGTTATATATGTATCTCTGTCTCTCTCTCTCTCTCTCTCTCTCTGTCTCTCTCTGTCTCTCTCTCTCTCTCTCTCTCTCTCTCTCTCTCTCAGGTTAGTTATTTTTGTATTAACATGTTGATGCATGCCCTGGGCTCCAACTTTCTGTTGTGTTTATTTGTTAAATAAAGATGACACAGCTCTCTCTTGTTGTGCTAGTTTGAACAGTTTGATATTTTATTCATTTTATTCATTTTTATTCAACTCTTTAAAGCTACTATTTGTAATGAGATTGGCTGACCTGTCGTATTCTCACGTGACATCATTAGAAGTTATCTACTTTAACACAGTCTGATAGTGAGATAGCTTGACAGAAAGCACAAGAAAACCAGAAAGCACAACCTGAACAAAGGCCAAGTGAGGGGAGGGGGAACAGGTTTCAAATCTGACATCTACTGGTAAAAAAAAAAAGAATAGTAATAAAAATAAAAGAATAAACTTACAAATGGCAGCTTTAATGTGATTAGTCAGTTTGAGTTAGGTTTCAATGTTTAATACCACATTAATACAAAACTATTTGCCTCCAAAAACAAACACACCAAATGTCACTGCTTAAGATAGATTTTTTTTTAGATTTAGATTTATTTCTTTAAAGGGACAATGCATACTAATGAACATACAATATAAATATGCCAGAAATAGCCCCATTGCCATAATTACTATTGAAGGTGAGAAAGAAATACGATCTTGATCAGATTTCAGATGAATCAGTTCATCAATCAGTCAACTTTCATAAGGGTAAATTAATGTCATTACTATTAGTATTATTTTCAAATCCAAGCCCAAAGTCCCATTATGCTCCTGTATAATGCAGGGCGGGCACAAGGACCCAGCATCGGCTGATGCTGTACTTCAGGTGAATAAATAGAAGCTGTACATGAGTTTCACATGTGTGTGTCTGTCTGTTGTGAACAACATGAAGTGCTCTGCCCTCTGCCTCCTGACTGTGGCCCTGGCCTTTGCGACTCTGCTCTCTGCTGTGGAAGGTCAGTCACTTTGAATACTACACCTGTAAGTTTAAACCGAGAAAGAGAACAGAGGGATGTGATCACTATTAGGTCTGGATTCTTCCACAGTTTGGCATTAAACCTATCTATCTTGTGTTTATTCAAATACTGTTTTATTGAAAAACAAAACACTGTCATTTAATTTGGAGGGGTCTCCATGGAGAAATAAGTTTAATGCTCTACTGTGAAACAGCAGAAAAGAGCAATTATTTTCCCCCCTGAGAATTATATTTGAATCTAGGCATTAGGTAAATGATCATAAGCAGATTTCTGTTAAATATAAGCTGTTTTTATTACACTACACTATAATTATTGTTACAAAAACTTGCAGGAGGGCCGAATTAAAACAGGCCAAGATCTCCATGGAGATGTTGTACCCTCCACTAGACAGTTGCCTTGTGCACCATAAAGCTAGTAAATGCTTTAATGAAAAATAGGCCAAGAACATTTCCAAGTGTTATAAGTGACTTATTCAAAGGTTCTGTTTCTAGTGTCTTTGGACAAACGTGGAGTCTGTTTGTAGTAACTTCTTTGAAATTGACAACAGGTTTGATTAAACTCAAATGAGGAGAATGTCCTAGTGCGGACGGTTTTGGGATCTGTGTCAGTTCCTGCACCTCCGACCAAGACTGTGATGACATCTTGAAATGCTGCTCCAACGGCTGTGGAAAAACCTGTCAGGACCCAGTTATAACAAGTAATACAATCTTCAGTTTGTTTGACTGACTGTCCCATTGAATTTATGTTTTGATGATGTTGTGACCATCTGCTCGCACTTGGCGAAACCACAGCCAAGCGTCAACGTGAAGGTGGCTCCACCGGCAGTTCTAGCGGAATGTACTGGCTCTTGTGTTTCTCAATGAGAAAGCCGGGATTTCAGAAGTAAATTTCAGAGCACTAATTAACAGTGTTTGTGCAGCTGGGCTCTTTCACACGATACAGATCTGCCCACGGAGCACGATGTGCTGATGGTAAGTGCACAAATACAACAATAGATCCATACTCTCTGTGTATTTTGACGGGGATATGCGCCTATGTTCGCGTAGAGCGTCAAAAAAAATAGGATGGATCCTGTTTTCTGAAATCTACGTGCACAGGACGTGCTGCTCCACGCGCATCTCGCGTGAGCAGTCGAGCCACCCTCATTCACTTTCAATGCATTCTTCAAATTACGCATCCAAAAGTTGCTGTGACATCCCTCTGTCACAGAAAGAACACATGTAGTCATGTCCTTTAGTCCAACAGAAGCTGATGCATTAGCGCACAAGGAAAAATATGCTTTTTTTTTTTTTTTTCCAGCGTTAACAATTTATGCAAATTATTCATGCGGCTTTAAGTTTTATTTCTGTAAAACATAAACAAATGTGACAAAGCTGAATTAAACACATTATAATGTCAAACGGGCTGATGTGGTTCTATAGTGCTTATGGTTAATATCTTGTAGTATTGTTGTTGTTGTAAGTTGTTGTAAACTGGAAGTCAGTTTGAAAAATAAGTGCAACCTTTCATTTACATATCTCACCTAAAAATAAAATGACCTGAACTTTGAACTAGTTCTAAATTAAAATTGTGAACTATGAACGTGAACTGTTCACTTTGAACATGTGTGAACTGAACTTTGAACTAGTTCATAAAAAGTGAAACTTGCACAACACTGGAATCTATTTTATAATGCTATAATACCACTTTATATAGCTGACAGTTATTTAAAGACACTGACTGTTTTTTTCTGCTGTTTCTCTTCAGAGTCCAAACCAGGAATGTGCCCTGATCTGATCCCTCATTTCTTCGAGTGTGATGATACATGCTCCTCAGATAGCCATTGTGACAGGAACTACAATATTGCTGCAGCGGCTGTGGGTACCAGTGCACAAGCCCTGAGCATTGCAAAAAGGCAAATAAATTACAGTATTCAGCTCAGCCATTAAAAGGGTTAATCTCCTGAATCATGAATTAAGTACTTGCATAGCTCTTATTTTAACTATTTAATCGTATAGGCCTGCTTGTCAAAAGACTCACCCTTGATACAATGGCTTTGCGAGAAAATTGTGCAAATGCCTGAAATGGCTACAGTAACAGTTACAGTTACATGTCATTGATGCATGTCCTGTGCTTTTTGTCCTGCTCTGTTTTCAGTTTGATTGTTTAATAAAGATGTCAAACTTCAACAGAATGTTTGTTGTTGTGTTAGATCGAAGGTAGTTGCAACAGTTAATACATTCAAATGTCCAGTGACCAAATATGGCTTTTTAGTTGTACCACATAGGGTGAGATAATGTGCAGTCAACTATTCAAACTTTGAATCCACAAAAGCTATTTTTCTCTAGTGACCCATAAAGGGTCCTGTATTATGCAAATTTGACTCTTGTAATCCTGATTTATAAGTCTATCTGCATCTTCAAAGCTCAAAATGCTCTATTCCACCTTGTGTTGTCATGAATCGGTAGTTTTCAAGTAGGCTATAGCTACCTTTTACCCTTTGTTCAATAGAGATTGGCAATTCCAGGGCTGAAATTATCAAAATGATTCTGGTGAAGGGTGGTGCATTGTTAAAAACACAGTGGAGCACTTCTTGTATGACCACATGACATCCCAAGGTAGAACAGAGTATTTTTGTCTGAAAGAAGAACTCAGCCTAAAAATGCAGGGTTTGTGTGTTCAGCGTGTATGAATGAAACAAAACAAAACTCCAGGTATGTTTTTCATGAGGAAACAACATTATAACAGATCAAAAAATACCATAATAATGGTCCTTTAACAATAGTGTCCACATGTTTCAGAATAATTGCAAATTAAAACAGAAATCAAGAGCAATCTAATATTTATAACAACCTATCATAACTTTTAAATAGCCAGAAGTCTTCAAAATGTCACCCATAAAAAGAGGCTGAAACCATGAATAATTGTAGGGCAGTAGGACCCTGGGCCAGTGCTGGGGCTGCAGGTTTTGTACATACAGCAGTGTTTACTAGGGTCTCAGTACATTCCAGCTTGCTACAGTCAACATGGACAAGCACTGCTCTGTTATCTGTGCCCTGGCTCTGATACTTTATGTGTTTGTGAATCTAAACTCAGGACAGGCCTCAAAACCCAAGGACAAGTGGATAGGTGAGTGATAACACTAGGCTACTTTGTTTGGTAGTTTATAATTTACTTAGCCTACATGTGGATAATATCAAGAACACATCTGGTAGTAATCTGTCAATGTTAACGTGTTAATGCATGCGATTAATCCAAACAAATGGATGTATCATCCACAAATTAACGCTGTTTTGCAGTCATGCATGTAAACTGGGCTGGGAGGTTTAACTGACAGGAGAAACACTGTATTCAGGAGCTGCTCTGATGACACGTGATTACAGTACACAGAAAATCCATAAATCCTCACGTGGATGAGCGCAAATCTCTCAATATCTGATGTTTATGAGTGCGGACCAAGTATTTCACCTAACTGCCACAGAACACTGGAAGTCTCCAGGCCAACTCTATTTGCAACTGTGACGATAAATTACACCCGCAAGCGGCAATAAAGGGTCTCTAAACTTGTTGTTTCCAGATGAACTTTAAAAATAAGTAATTTTGATTTTTTTAAATTAAGATGATGTTATGATGTTGTAAAAATGTGTTTGTGTTTTAAGATTCAAATTAGAAAATCTAAATTACAACATTCAAATTAGTAAAAAAAAATTAGTTATTTCAAAAGTCCACAGACTAGAGACCACAAGTAGGCCTAACTTGCCTTCCTCCTTCACAGTGTTACAATATGTTCTGCAACAAAGCAGTATTAACTTTGGGCACTTTGTACAATATCCAAAATGTCCTGCTGTGATATTATAAAGAGTCTGTGTGTGCAGTGAAGGCTGGCGTGTGCCCGCAGAGGACCTGGGGCATGGGTGTATGTGCAGAGTACTGCTCCTCAGACAATGAGTGTGAGAGGGACCTGAAGTGCTGCTCCAACGGCTGTGGACATGAGTGCATGGAGCCGTACAAGGGTGAGGAATAAAGAAGATCATGATACATTTATAAAACATACAATCAACTCTGGTGCTTGATCAAATAAATAATACACATAAGCATTTTGGGCTGGTTCTAGGCTCAGGCACAACAGGACATTTAAACAGAGTAATCCATACACACAAAATATTGACTAAACAAAAGTCCATGATGATACATGAGAACAAAATAACATAAAACATCATATAAAGTCAGTATGAAAAGCCATACAAACCATCAAAGTGAAGCTGTTTCTGAACCCTCTGAACAAACAAATTACCTAAATCTTTTGCGGTAAATATAAGAACTAAAGTTTCTGTTTGGAGGGATGGTCCGATCGACAACAGACTGAACATTTGTTAAGGTCTTAAACAGAAAGGCTCGGAATCAGAATATGACAAGATTACCTAAAAAGAATATTTTTTTTACAGGGATGAATTTTTATCACCTTACTGCTATTTATTGCCTCATACAATGTCTAATGCTTTATTTCCTCTATCGTTTATGTTTTTGTTGCCAGTGAAGCGTGGTCGATGCCCCCTGCCTCAACCCACTCAGATGTGCGCAGAATACTGTCACCATGATGGCCAGTGTCCCGGGCAACAAAAGTGCTGCAGGACGTCCTGTGGTCACGCCTGTACTGAAATCCAGCCGTGTTAAACTCACCACACCCACCCAACCCACTACCACACCCCATATGATCCGTCTTAGTGTCCTCTCTATTGTATATCCAAGCAAGGTTAACCTTGACTTGACTCACAGTATTGTACAACCAGTGTCATCAATGTTATTGACGTAATTGTCAACTGTCACAGAATATTTTGTTGGTAACAAATAGAAAACAAAGTATTTTCCACTGTACTGTATTGTGCCTCTTGTAGTAAGCAATTAATTTTTAACATACATGGAGGATTTTTGTTGTTAGAAATTGTATGCATTTCATTTAGCTGTAAATGATGTATTCAAAATATTACTTGGCTTGCAATTGAGTTTATATTTAATGTAGAAAGAATATTAGTTTGAATTTGTAATAAAGAATGCATGCATTTGAGTGAGTATGAAACTGCGTAACATGTACTTTTTGTCCTTGCATAATCTGGGACTAACCCAAAATCAAAACCAAATCAATTAGATACATTTCCAGTGATACGCCTTCTAAACTGAATACTATGTTCTTGTTACTTAATCTCCATGTTTTTGTTGTTGATCAGCACATTTCTATGAGCAATGTTTTCATTCCTCACTGAACCCAGACAGAGAGCAGTGTGTCCTCTCAGGGCCTGGTTTGTTTACTCTCAAATGTGAGCACTCATATAGAACAAACTGATCTCTAGCGTTGCCCTAAGGCTCATGAAGTCATTAAAAGAGATAAGATACAGTATTTAACAATTAGTAGATGCATACATAAATTCATTATTATTTATTATGTATCAGTTAACATGTGTCTTTCAAACATTCACAGTGGAACAAATTTTCTGTTACAAATAACATGCACTCTTAAAAGAAATGGGTAAAATGTGGAGAAAATCCACTTTTGTTCCTTTCCTTAATTTAAATTTTAAATGAGTTTGCAGGCTATTTCTGTTGATTAAAACTATTTGTGGAGCTAATAGTTAATGCATTTTTACTTAGATGTGTACAGCGCAGTGTTTTCATTTCAAGCACAACTCCAAAATCAGTGCCAAAAAAAATAAAACAAAAAAATCATTTGGTAAAAGGCCAGCTCAGCCGTTACATAAAAGATTCAAAGATTCACTTGTACAAATAAACACTCCTATTAAATAAATAAATTGGTTGGCTTTTGAGTTGAGATGGCAAAAACTCAAGGTATTTAGTTAGTTTCACAACTTTTGGAGTGTTTTGCTCATTCCAATTTGTAACTTCAATTGATTTGTGAATTAATTGAATCCTGTTTTAGCTTGCAGTATATTTTCAGAACTTAATTTAAGTCTTGAAGCAGACAGTTTTGTAAAACACAGGCAACTGTTAATATATCAAAAAATGAATTGTTTAATACAAGAGAAATACTGTCTTCTTTTCATGTCTAGACAACAAGGAAATTCTGAATCCAAGTACCTGGGTGTGAATAATTAGCATTGCCAGAATGTTGCACACCTGCTTTCTGAGCCAAATGGTTGACCTATTTAATACAATGCACCATTGATAATATAAGGCAATATTCAAAATAAAAATGTTTTCCTTTTATTTTAATTTGGGTCACCATAGAAGAAAAGCAAAACAAAAAACAAAAACAAAAAAACACTGACAGACAACCATTCACTCTCACATTCATTCAAGGCAATTCATTTCACCAGGAAATTCAATAAATCCAGTTTCTGCACCCCCCCAATATATAATATTTTTTCTTGTCAAAAATTCCCAAGTTAATTTCACAATCTGACATTAAACAACATATTTCAAATGATCGTCTCAAAAAGCATAGCAACAGGTCACTTTTGGTAGCCCAGTTCTATAGAGCTAAGGACTGAATATCAAAAACTAATGAAAGATGTTCAAAATAACAGTAGAGATGTATTGGCAAAAATAAAATAGAGTAAACAAGAGCTGGTGAACAACCAGATAAGCAGCTGGTTCGCTAGTGGTAAATGCGTATATCAAATAATAGTTTCAGAATACTGACTGCTAGGATTAGTATTTAGCTTCTCTAAATCTTAATTGGGGTGTGCTGAAACTAGCTGATTCATTACTTTACTGGTTTAATGCATTCATTTTCAACACTTCAAACTTCACTCAAAACATTCACACAGGATTTAGTCCATCCCTAAATATCACTATTCACCAGTGTTGCACCAATAATCCGTTATAAACAGTACCATCTGGAGTTGCCATCCTGGCTCATAGTGGTGGCACACCCCTCATTTTTCTGATGACGTTAGCTATCCTCTTTGCCAGTCCTGGGCTTGGTTCTTCGATCTGAAAGTTGCGTGTGAGAAGGTTGTAGAGAGAGCCGTAGCCCACAGCCACTACTGTGCAGGTAAGGCAGATGACATTGTAGGGCATGCTAAAGTCTGGAGTGGGCAGGTTCACCAATAATGGCTCAGTATAAACCCGGATGAAGTAACTGGACTCTTCTTTGGTGGGAAAACTACAGCACGAAAAGTAAATTTGGTGGAGTCATTTTATGTAATCAGATGAAACTATGAAAAGTGGATAAACTAGTACTCACAAGCTGCTGAAAAGAGGGCGGTCCCAAGTGTTGTTTGTGTCCATTGCAACGATACTTGGTACGAGAGCGCTGACAACTGAGGACCTATTGGAATTTTTTTTAAATAAAAAAATAAACATTAGAACAATAATAATGAGTAGATAGAATGTGGTGACTATTCCATTTAGCACCACCAGAGAGCCGCAGTGTGTAGAGTGTAGAAAAAACTCTAGGTCTCGAGTGGCATCAGTGCCTATGATGCTATGACCGTTTTTAACAAAGACCAAACCCAAAAGGAACAAAGGAACAAAGTCAAATAAAACTAAAAACAAACAAGAATTTCAGGGAACCTAGATGTTTTGGTGAGTTGTGCGTTAGCCCTATGTATTGCATACACAATCTAGTACACGTAGGAAATCTTACACAATGCAATGATAGCCCATTATTACCTGAATTTCAAGTTAAAACACCCTAACCGGCTTTCGGGGAAATCAGCCGCTATTTTGGCTTACATCTTGATCAAAACGGTTTGTCGCATATTTGTGACACATAAATTCTTGTAAAAATTATATACAATTATTGCAGAAGAAAATTTAAGGTAATGACTATGATGCAAAATCTCTCTCTCAATCCCATAGCACCATCTACTGTTCAACACGTGTCATGTACAAGGTGAATCTTTCAATAAGTGTTTGGATATTTCAAAATCTTTAGTGATGATTTCAGTGTCATACCCGACATAGAATCCGTGGTTTGGGTCTGGCGTGTACTCAGTCCATTTGAGCAGAGCCCTCTCAAACTGCACAGTAACCTCTGTGACAGAATTAGGAGGAAGCTGCACTAACATCTCCAGAAGGTGAGGCCGAACGCGGTCTTTAGATGGCTGGTAGTGGATGTAACCTAGAAGAAGACAAATTCACATACAAGTAAAAATGCTACAGATTAATTGTGTGATACTTACTTTGCATACTTTGATAATCCATTATAATAAATTAGGTTGGATTAAACAGATTTCTACTGGTGGATATTTATGTGTTATATAATTTTACTGTAACAAGTCACAAATATAGTTTAGGTCACCACAAATCTTATATATGAGCAAGTGTAAAAGCAATTGCAATAATATTATATGTGGTCATAATTAGCAAAACACAATTATTTTGGTAATATAATGTTAAAAGCTTGCAATTCATACAAGTTACTGCTCTTTGACAACACGAAACCAAAAACAAACTCACAATACGTCTCTTAAGTCTTGGTTGTGTGTTTAGACTCACTGGGCTTGTTGTCCTTGCTTTTGCTGGTGACTGTGAGTGTGTGGATGTAGAGGCGCAGGTACCAGGGCACAGAGTCCAGCAGCAGCACAGGGAAGGAGCGGTAAGGGTGCTGGTTATACATGAGGGTGTGGATCTCTCCTGTCTGCAGCCCGTACCCCGCTACATACCTCTCAGCATGGAGCAGGGGGCGCAGCATGTCCCCTAAAGAGAACACAAAAAAACATTAGGGACTATATATTATGTGCATTTTGAAGATTTTGTTGAAGTTAATATTATTACACATTAGTTTGCATTATTTAGGTGATGACGATTTTGTAGAGAATGGAAAAAATCATCGGAAAAGAAAACTAAGAATGTTAACAACTCATTAACTAAAACAGCAAAACCAAAACGTATTCATTAAACAACTTTGTAATTAACTCTGTAATAAAGTAAGCACAGATATTGAAGAGGCTATTTGGATAAGTGGAGCATCTTTTATTACATAAAGTCAGTTAATTTATGTAAAGTCTTCAATTTTCATGTGCACCAACAAGAAAACACTGCACTGATTCTCTGGGGTCTTTAAAGCAGCTTTATCAGCAGCCCTATATAAAATAATACAACCCGAATCATGATGGCAGCACCCACAGCAACTTCCAGAATAAGGTGAATAACACAGATACACAGACAGCTTTACAAAAAGGAAGGAAAAACAATGTTTTTTTTTATGTTTTTGTGTAGCAGCTATTACCGTAGGTTAGCTTGAAACCATGGCATTTGTATAATAATATGAATAATCCATCCATCCATTTTCTTCCGCTTATCCGGGGCCGGGTCGCGGGGGCAGCAGTCTAAGCAGAGACTCCCAGACTTCCTTCACCCCAGACACGTCCTCCAGCTCCTCCAGGGGAACCCCGAGGCATTCCCAAGCCAGCCGAGAGACATAGTCCCTTCAGCGTGTCCTGGATCTTCCCTGGGGCCTCCTCTGGTGGGACATGCCTGGAATATCTCCCGAGGGAGGCACCCAGGAGGCATCCGGAACAGATGCCTGAGCCACCTTAACTATGAATACTATTCAAATATGAATAATAATAATATTTACCTTCAGAGCTTTTCCATTTAATCTGCAGGTTAAAAGTTCGCATGGTGCCAAAGGTGGAGGTTTGAGTCAGGTCATACACAGAAAAAGTGCGCCTGTCTCCCAGCACCGCGGCCTGGCTCAGGAGAGGGGTGGCCGGTGTTAGCTCAAACTGCTCCCCCTAAAAAGAAAATGATATTCATATATAGCAAATCACAAAAAGAGTACATATTTTTATTACACATTATGGAAAAGAAGTCAGACCTCAGGATTGTCTGTGATGTCCACATATATTTTGCTGGTGGAAGCCAGAGGGCAGGCATCCGTCAGAGTCCTTGCAAACATCTTGAACAAAGACCACTCTGCAAGAAGACAGCTTTGATTATAAAGACAATAACAACTTTAAACCCTAAATATCACAAATCAAAAACAGTTGAATCTGATAAAAGGTTTAACTACCAAAAGCTAACCCCAAAAACAAAAGCTATTCTATTCTTTTGAAAACAACTAATGAATACATTATAACAGAGCGAAAATAAAAGGTACAAAATAAAATTGTAAAAAAACTGACCTAGAACCCATTATTTCTGTGTTCTTTGATCTCAGTTCTCTGATTTTACATGAACTGACACTTCTGGCTGTGCCTTTTTAGTGATGTGACAAGAATAAAGCTGCCAGAGTTTGACAGGCAACTTTTATTTCATCAGGAACTAACATTAATTGCACAATAGCGCCACAGGTCCTTTTTTGTCTAGCCCAAAATATTAAAACTGACAGACATGGATTTCTTGATTAAAACCTATTATCTGACAAATCAGTGATCCTTGATATAGCACATTTCTACAGCTATTGGACACTAAAAGCCATTTACTATTTATCCATACACAGTAATGCATTCTTTGGTGTTGGTGTTTTCATGCTTTTGGGACCATTACACTGACTTGCATTCATTACTTGAGACTGATTCTGCAACAACTACTTGCCCAACCTTAACCTAAATTTACCCATAACTTAACTTCAAGGATGGCATGTGCCCATAATGATCAGATAAGGTAAAAAAATAGCATCTTTCCCAAGGACATAAAAGTAATCTGCATTACCGGAAGTGGGAACTGAAAATCCACCGAGACTGACCTCTTTTGCCCTGTCCAGAGGTGTGCAGGTCGAACACCACATCAAGTGTCTGCCTGAGCTCCCAAGACGTGGTTTTACACTGAGCGTCTCCACACACTGGCCGAATGTGCACTGCCTCCGAGTGGAAACTGCTGTGGAAGAGCTTCTCCGACTTCATCAGGACCGCCAAACCTGCCTGGAGAAGAAAACAGCTTCTTAATAAACTAATTTAAATTTTAAGATACAAACTACATTCAGAGTATGCTAAGGTAGTTAAGAAGAGCGCTGGAGGCTATTTCTTACAGTACAGTTTTACTTCTCTGTTGTGGCAACTGTTAGCAGAGCTCAAAGTTAAATTATAAAAAAATGAGTTATGAGCTAAATCCGCCATGATTGTGTACAAGCGTGCATTAGCCAAAACAAAGCCATGGAAGATCCTAATAAGGTTCAAGTTCACAGGTTAATAATAATATGTAAAAACAGTAATAAATCACACTAGAGTACTTCTGAAGGAATGCTGAGTTTAGTATTTTTGCATCATAAAATGTCCACTGATTTAACATTAGGCTAACTGAAAATAGTATGAGGTTTGATGACACTATGCAAAGTTATTCAATAATCTAAAAATGTTAATTGTAATGAGCCATTTGTATGGTAAACTATTTAATTAAGCCACAAACGCTTAAGGCAATGTCAAACTTTATGAAGCATATACAGATTAGGAATGATGTGAAGAAGAAAGTGGCATGCATCAAAAATAATTCTATGATCCTTGTAATATTTGTGAATTTGAAAAACACCAAAACATACTACGTTATATTTTATTCACAGATGTACCTTGGATCCACATGGCAGTAGTTTCTTCCAGGGTGTGAGATTTTCAGTGCAAACTATTTCTCGTGGGAGGGTGGCATAGCGAAGGAACCGGTGATCTGTCACTGATGGAGTAAAACAAAACATTAAATCACAGTTGTAAAGAAAATACATGCCTAATAATATGTGAAAGAAACAAATAAATGACTTTACCATTGCCTATACCCAGAGGTTTGAAGGAAGCACTGGGCTGGACTGTGTTTGTGGAGTCAATGAAGTTCAGAGATGCACAGAAGATCCCAGATAAAACATTAGTCAGCTCCTTCCAAGTGCTATCCACACTGAAGTAAAAACACAGAACAGGGAATCATAAAAAACAGTTTTGAGGTGAATTACTGTATTAACCTTTTTTTATGTGTTGGAGTTATCTAACCAGGAAAGTCTAATGGAAATTGGAACTCTACTATAAAGTTAATCAAGAGGGGAAACCAATGCATGAGAAGAAAACCTATGCAGAACATTAAACTTGGGTGAGGCATTACTGCTACAAACTACATACTTGATTTTATGTTTTGTTGTTATTTAACCTGTGAATCAAGCTTTGGTGAGGTTGAAATGCCAATGATACAATTCTAAATTCTGCTGTAATGCACTCTAATAATATCACATATTTTACAGCAACATATTCCAGTTTATCATGATGAACAGCATGCCTTAGCCAGCAGAGGGCAGTACTTACTCTGTAACCGTGTCCTGAAACCAGACCCAGAGCTCGGCACCAGGAGGAGCAGGGAGGAAGGGCTGTCCCCACTGTATGGTCCTCCAGTAACCCTGAGTGAAGGAGATGTGGAGTTCGCGCACAGAGAACTTAGAGATGACCTGCCCCAAAGACTTAGGGAACAGACGGTAATGGGACACTGGAAAATACAGAGACAACAGTACTAAACAAGTGATAAGCAACTGTGCTCCTTAGCAGTAGCAGTAGTGGAGATCTTATGCTTGAAGTAGCGATGTCATCTACTAAATTCTTGGTTGACTAAAGACATGCCATGCTGATTCGTGATCAATCAGCTAAAAATAAAGCTATAGAAAATGCATTATGTCTATGATCTGATCATGTAACTACACACATAATACTAAATATATGCGAGTTCATGCAAAAAACAACTATTTATACACAGTAATGTCCTAGAGAAAAGTGTATTTCCATCAAAAAGGATGATTAAACACAGGACTCATTCCCAAATCTTCAGGTAATTCACTCTATCTAAATAAAATGATTAATCAACAAAGACAAATGTTGGTCAACTAATGCACCATTGATCGTTTAATCAACTAAACAAAAGGACTACAGCCTTAGTTTAAAGTGGCACTATGCATCTTTTCTGGCATAGGGCATGGGACCTGCATGTCTCCATGAAGAAGTGTGCATTGCCTACAATGTTCCTCAGTATGGCATTATTAAAATTATCTGTTTCCATAGATGGAGAGTGGAGACATGGAAGATGGCTTAATTACAGTTCACATCTATGGAGAAGCAACCCAGCTCACAGTCAGAATAAATGATTATTAAAATTGATTAATAATAATAATAATGACTTTAAATGACTCTACATCTGAGTAATACATTTCTACAGCAATTAAGTTTCTGAACTCTCCTATTATTAGCCCCCACATAAAGTGCTGCATGTAGGCCTATGTGACTAAGCGGAGGGTTAAACCTCAGTAGGTGACATTCAAAGTAAAACATTAAACATAATCAGAGTGAAGCTTTTCTCGCTGCTTCCTGTTGTGAACCTGCTCCTCACCTTTCTTTCCGTTCATGAAGTCAGTTTCCCAGAGCGTGCTAAACTGGAAGCTGGCGTAAATATCTCCAGAATGAAGAGGCCTGATCACCAGCTCCTCTTGAAAATCCTCTTTCTGGTGAACCCCGGTGGAGCTGGCTGTTGTCTCAGGCGGAAGAGCACTCTCTGCGGGGACAGCAGCATCTTCTTCAGGGGTGGTTTCCTTCACCTCGGTAGGTTCCCATTGTTTCTCCTGCTCTACTGGCGTCCCCGGAGGTGTTTCGGGAGTTTCTGGTTCCGTATCCGCCGAAAGATTAGGATTACTAGAAGTCGGTATTGTTGTTTGTGCATTTATAACAATTAACAACGATAAACTATAAAGAATGACTAGCAGAGACAGAGCGCAGTACCTGCGCGCCACCATCTTGGCTCAGAAGGCGGTGCGTAAAACCACTTCCGCGTCTTTGCGTCATGAGACAACCGACCAATGAGCGTCTACAATTTAGATTTCTAAGGCAACAAAATGAACCTGCTTTGTTTTATGGGAAAAAAAAAAGATCTCAGAAAATGTATAGACTCTAACTGAAATGTCAGAAAGCTTTAAATGTTTACAAATTTGAATATATAAATAGACATCTATACGCAAAGAAAAGCATACTCGTTTATGACGAATTATGAATTAAATAATATTCACATTTCATTTGCTATTTTAATATACTATTTGTTCACACTACACAAGTAAGTCATAAAGGTTGAAGGACTTGACCCACAATTAACCATAGCCTCTGCAATTAACGCCATACAAGAAAATGTGACCATTTACATTTAGTTTTATGGAAAATCCAGTCCCTCAGCTGGAACAAGTGAAAGGCATAGCCGATGTAAACCACTGATGTGGTCCACCTGTGCTATTATTCTGTAAGCCTAATGACAACCATTAGACCTACAATTCAAAAGGGCCATAGGCCTATTTATATTGGGATGGTACTGGTTGATCATCTTCAAGTGTTGCTGGACGGGTGCGGGCATGCATCATCGGGGCCATGGCACCCCTCCCACATCCACACATCTCTGCGCGCACAGCCCAGACGCACGCGCACGCACTGTACTGCACGCTCCACGCACATACACACAGTGAATCTGGTCTCAGCCATGGCTCTCCGGTAGATGCTCAAAGCGGCTGTTGTCAGAGCGAATTACACCTCTCCTCACTCGCCGCCTTCCTCCTGACCTTGCCTGCCTCCGGTTGGCTTCGTGATCTTTAAATTATTTGGGATTCCTGCGCGCTGGCTGCCCGTCTCCTCATGGCTACATCGGATGGACTAGACGGCTGTCTGCAACGAGGCAGATCTCAAAGTGACCCAAACATTCTCACCGAATCGGAGATAGAACTGGTCCACGGCGCAGGTAGGAGCGTATTCTGTATGTATACTGTGCATTAGACCTATGTCTGCTGCGCTGGCTGCTGGCGGTGCAGCTGTTCCCAAAAAGCATCACCGCTCTGCCCGGTGGGATACCATGACACCAAGGGATAATTAGCGCATATGGTCTCAGCGCTGGACGTGAAATACAAGGCTGTAACGCTGCAAATTGAAAATTAATGTGCCATTTCAAGGCGTGTATCAGTCCATGTTGCGTGGTTTTATTTCAGACTCTGTTGTAGCTCGCTTGGTTGTTATGGTTGCACATAGGCTACAGTAGGCAGGGTTTTAGAATGAGCGTGTTGATACCGGGCCATTTCATGTGGAATTGACAAAGTGTGACACTTGCAGGGTGTAGCTGTTGCCTTGTGCATAAGCCTTCTTCTGGGGTTTATTTATCATCGCACAATCCGCGTGCATGTGTGGTCCATAATGCCATCTTAAACGCATTTGTTGTGTTATCGGATCAGAACACATCGTAATAGCCTCGTTATTGGAGACACATAGGTTTTGACTCATGATCCTAGTTTAGACCTGGTTTATGGCTGAATTGGTCCTGATGCTGCATGTAGACTGCACCTGATGGAGTCATATCTTAGTCATGGTTTAAGATAAGATATATGTAGGCTGGTTCTGTAGTTTAGTCATGCAATGAAGTCTTGGTTAGGTCAATGTCAGTTCTCTGTTATGATGATTATTTGGCTATTTCATCAACTTATCCACATTTTCCTTTCCCTTAAGAATCATGCTTAGTTGCGATTTGTAATTGAGATTATATATTGACTATCTAGCCACCCTTTAGACCTGCAAGCATTTACTCCTGGTTTAATCCAATGGTAATACCAATGTAATCCTTGTTCAGTTGTCATTTTGAATTTTAAATCCTAGTTAATCCAGTTTTACTTTCTCATATATTATTGGTTTACATTTTCTCCTACACATTCTTCTTTTTACTTGCCTTTACTTGATATTTCACTATATTCACTACTATATTTCATCCGTTATTTTTCATTCACAGTTTAGTCTCTATAATTTTACTCCACCCTGGCACTCTCTTTATGGTTTTTTCCCTGTAGTTTCAGTTGTGTTCACTTCATATATCGCCTGAAACTTATTCGTATTGACAGCTCCTCTCCCTCTCTCCTCTCCCCCATCACTGTCATAATCAATGTCCCTCTCCCTCCGTGATGTTGTCTAAAGGTGCACCCTCTGACCCCCTGGATTCAGCTCACCTCTGCATTATTCACCAGAGTCCAATACTTGGTCTGTGTTACATCTGCAGCTGTGTTGTTGTTGTTGTAGCCTTCACTGTTACTCAACCTGTGCCTATGAAATAATAAAGTGATGTTTCATTAATAATACCAGGCTGAGCACCAGGGAGCATTCCTGTTTGTGGCACTCCAGTGAGCTCACACACAAATGCACTTGTTACATCTCATACTCAAGGCTGGTGATGCTGTTGTGAAATACCAGTATCAATTATCAGTGATAGTTTTCACTATGTTGTTGAATGTAATAGTCCAGAAGACATGGGCAATATATTGAATTATCATTAATGTTGTGAATGCTGTTTTGACTATATGCAAAACTTTAATATGAGGTATATTTGATACCAGAATGCTGCAAGCTTGTTTTGCAATCTCCCAAATGAGAGTTTATTTTTGTATACTTTTGGGTAAATTTACACTCCATTCACATTTGACTGCTACAACTAATTTAAGTGCAGTACAGTTTTAGCACTGTTGGACTGCCAAAATATTTTCCAATAACCATTATTGGGGGAAAACATACATTTTAGTATTCCATATTACTAAGTCCTTATGCCCTCCATTTGGGGCCGTTTTGAGAAATTTGTTCATGTCTAATGCACCTTTTGAGCTTGTCTCATTCCCACTAACAATTAGCTTTTGTGATATAGTTCTTAAGATTTTCTAGTTTTCAGAACACACAGAACTGGGAAAGTGGGATTTTTGGCAATGGTGTATCTGTCTCTCCATTTGGTTACGTGGGTAAATCTTGAATTTCTGTATTTTGGTTTTATCCCGTTTTGAAGGTATTCCCCATTCCCATTTCATCTATTCTAGTTTAGTTCTGCTTTTCTTTGACTCCTGCATAACAGACACTATTTATGGTGAGTTGCGTGGGCCTGGACAGTCATTTGTAACTCCCACATGTTGAGTTGCACACGCTCCTATGACTGATTCACAAAAACACACCCCGTCATTCACCTTTCAACTGGGCACTAATGAGGCAGCCTTGCACCTGTCCCAAACTGCACCTGTGCTGTCTGTGCCCACTGACCATCCCAGGACACCTTTTAATTGGAGCCTGGTTTGACGCTGACCTCCTGCAGGATTTCATTCACACTTAACTGGCTGTGATAATGCCATGCCAGGTCAACTCTGACAAACACCTGGATAAACAGCACTCTGGATGACACTTAAAGGTGCAGTGTGTAACATTTCTGGTGGAGGGTGTGTCACCATGGTTATTGCTTAAGATTCAATGTTCCATAGTGTGCCATTCAATATATTTATTACCACGAGAGTAGCAGGTGATGCCGTCTTTGAATAAACAAGCCCTCTCACAGTAAGAATGAGTTGTTTTCAAGGTATTTTAAACATTCAATATTCCTGCAGCTGAATCATTGCAATCAATCAATCAATGAAAGATAGATAAGTGTTTTAATAATAGTAATAACATCACCATGGAGACAAGAGAAGTTGTGTAATGCATCTTTAAGCAATGGCTGTGCTGTAGCCACAAGGAGAATTGAACAAAAAAATTATAGATGCAATAAATTATATGAGCACAGTGCATCTGAAATATAGTTTCAATTAGTGTTATGACATCACACATATCTCTCAGCCTGTGGATAATATTCTGCTGACAGCTGCAGCCCTGCTTGTTTGAGCTGCTTGTTAGAATCAACAGAACCATTTCCACAATTGTGAAGAGTGTCATGGATTTAAAAGCAGTCCAAAGAAGCACAGATACGTCATGCTGTATCATTGTATTTTCCAAAACAAACAATAGTGTGGATCTAAACAATGCTATCTCATGGCATCCATCCACCTCTTTGGTAGGCAGCTGTTAAAGCATTGGTTTATTCATAGAATGCTATTGGTGAAAAGGCCTGTCACGATAACAAATTTTGCAGCATGATATATTGCTCCAGAAAAATAATACTGAAATTAATTTATCCAATTAACTCAATAACAACAATGCATGATAATGTCAGAAAATTAAATCATTAAAAGCCATTAGCTGCAACAAATAAATAACACTTAGTCAACTCAAATCTTATTGTATTACAGCAAAAATTCCCCAAATCTCCCAAAGTTTGTGAAGAAATAGTATGCACGATAGATATAGAACCCCAAAATATATTGCTCCAGCTTTCATGTACTGAATGATAAATCAATATATCAATTATCATAATAGGCCTAATCTCTCCATATTGACTTATTTCAATTGTGTGGAAAAATAAAAAATTAGATTTCAAAATATTGTGTATGCATTTTGCCTATTTCAATAGCATTACGATATTACAAATGTCAATATACCCTGGTATTGGGTTACACAAGGCTGGATTATTGATTGTCACCAAACTTGGAGGGGCATAATCATTTAGCTTTTATCTACAAACTACAAAAAGTGTTCCATTATGTTAAAATGCTTTTAATCGACACTGCAATCTTTGACTGCCAAATGATGCACAGTTTGTTGTTTACCAGCACTAAAAGACTCTATATTTACCAGTGCTGCTGTCACACTGTCAGGGCTGCTGATTTATGCCGTCAATGAAAAGCACTGTACATACATTTGTCAGTGCAAGGACAATGTCAGTGTCTAGTGACCTTAAGTACACAGCCCCCTTCCATGATCCACACATACACCCCCCTGTAGCTCATCACTGCGCTAGCGTCTGGGACATAAGTCGCTGCCAACAGATTACTTTGGCAAAGAGTGTCTTTTTCCCCTCCGCCCTGGGTCCTGCAGCTGCACAGCCAGACACTGCTCAGGCTCCTCTCAGCTCGAAAGTCAATAGAGACAGTCACAGTCTACACCACTGAGGACAAGACTCTGTTCTATGCATGGTTGAATGGGACAGTAGATTTTTATTGTTGTCTGATAGCTTATTTGTCTGTGATATATACTCAATTCATGCTGATTTTCCATCTTTATGGGAAGAACAGACTTAGGCATAGACTTAAGCAAACTTTATTGATTCACAAGGGAAATTATATGGACACAATAGCTCACATATCATAATATATTATAATAACAAAGAGCAAAAGTATAGTATAATGTTACAGGTCCCCATGATATAAAATCTTTATTTTTAAATTAGCAGCATGATTTGAAGTTAAGATATGAGTTAAAATAGGATCAGTCTCAGGTGTTCATTTCTTTCCAGCCTAATGCCCCCCCCCCCCCCCACTAGGTTTGCTAATATTTTCAAAATTCTGTAAAACTTCAAATGTAAACAAAAGTATAGTATGGTTTAATAAAGCTACAATTTACTCCAAACATGAACAACAAAAATGTGTACTAGGGCCCGACTGATATATGGGCTGGCAAATATTATCAGCCGATATGGGCACTTGGAGACAAATCGGCTAACGGCCTAAATCTAACCGATATTGGCTGATAGTCCATGTGGGCATGTTATAAAGCTTAGACTCTATATATTACGTCGATTTAATCCTATTTACAGAGAGATAAATGTCCTAATATGTGGCGCTGCATCAGTATTTATCAGATGAGTAATTTGTCTATGACTGTGATGCTGTACTGCCCCTGAATGCACCCCCAAAGTCACATCCCGTGATTCACATGTTCTTGTGTCGGATCCACGATACTGACGAACGAGTGAGTGTTGTAAATGTGTTGGTTTTGAAGCTACTTTTCGTTCTTTCTCTTACATTGGCCTACTGTGAAGTGACTATCGTGGTTGTTTCTGGATATGCATTGATATGTAGA